TTGCATGCTGCTGACAGTAACAGTGAGGACATGCAACGTTCCATCCTTGCCTCCAACTGTTACATCACATTAAAAGAAGCTTAAATGTCTGAAAGTAAATTACTAATGGCACTCCCCCAACCCCAGCAATTGCTGTAGTTGCCCCCGGGAGGTTCTACGATGATGAAGAGAAGAGGACGTGGTCTGGATATTTGTGAATGAAAAGGGAAGTGTTTTTCCAGGCTACGTCTACAGAAGAGCTTAAGGACACTTTCTTCCCCCGACACAGGGAAAACCAATCTCTATTCGCCTGATCACTTAACCTAGCCACCCTAACCACAGCCAAAAATCTCTGCCCAAGAGACATCACACCTGAAAGCCAGGCAAACTGCTCCACCACACTCCACGCATGAAACAGTCCAAGACCGGGGGGGAAGGAATTAAAGTAGCCTCCGCCTCATCCCACACGACGTGGGACAAATACATGCTCAGCATCCCCGTCAGCTGACACTCACAAGCTCTCACCTCCCCAATGGGCAAATCTTAGTGTCATGAGGTAAGAAGGAACGTCCTCTCATGGACCAGTAAGTGGTTACAAGATAGGAAACAAGGGGCTAGAAATAAATGGTCAGTGGAGAGAGAGAGAGAGAGAGAGAGAGAGAGAGAGAGAGATGGGAGGTCCCCAAAGGATCTGTACTGGGACCTGTGCTGTTCAACATATTCATAAATGATCTGAAAAAAAAGAGGTGAGAAGTCGGAAGGCAAGTTTTGCCAACAATACAAAATTACTCAACATGGTTAAGCCCAAAGCCGACTGTGAAGAATTACCAAGGAGCCCACAAAACTCGGTGACTGAACAACAAAATGACAGATGAAATTCAATGTTGTAAGTGCAAGTAATGCACTCCACTACACTTATAAAATGATGGGCTCTAAAATCGGATGTTACTACTCAAGAAAGATCTTGGAGCCATGGGGGCTATTTCTCTCAAAACAGCTGCTGAATGCGCAGCGGCAGCCAAAGAAAAAGCCGACAATGTCAGGACCTATTAGAACAGGGATAGACAATAGAAAATAACATAATGCATTGTGGCTACGTCTACACTGGCCCCTTTTCCGGAAGGGGCATGTAAATTTCATGAGTCGTAGTAGGGAAATGCGCGGGGGATTTAAATATCCCCCGCGGCATTTAAATAAAAATGTCCGCTGCTTTTTTCCGGCTTTTAAAAAAGCCAGAAAAGAGCGTCTACACTGGCCCCGATCCTCCGGAAAAAGTGCCCTTCAAAGTAGGAATAAGATCCTCCGGAAAAGGGCACTTTTTCCGGAGGATCGGGGCCAGTGTAGACGCTCTTTTCCGGCTTTTTTAAAAGCCGGAAAAAAGCGGCGGACATTTTTATTTAAATGCCGCGGGGGATATTTAAATCCCCCGCGCATTTCCCTACTACGACTCATGAAATTTACACGCCCCTTCCGGAAAAGGGGCCAGTGTAGACGAGCCCTATATGTTTTCAGTCCATGGTGTGTACACAATACCTATGGCACGTCACTCCATCTCAAAAAGATTAATTAAAATCAGAAAAAAGCTGAGAAAGGTAACCAAAAAATTCCCTAAAGATATGGAACAAATTCCATATGAGCGGATTTCAAAGTCTTGACTATGCAGTTTTGAGAAGATAGGGGGAAGGGGATACGCTAGGACAGGATCCATAAAATCATGAAGGGGAGGGGGGAATAATACTTTACTCCTTCACATAAGAAGAACCAGCGTTACCCAATTATATTACTAGGTAGCACGTTTGAAACAACCTTCAGGATGTATGTCACATAATGCACAGTCCATCGATGACACTCATACCCACCGCAATTTGTGAAGACCAGAAGTACAATGGAGATAAAAAAAAGAGTGAGGTAAGTTTGTGGAGGATCGGTCCATCAATGGTCATTAACCAAGATAGTTCAGAATGCAACCTCATGCCTTGGGGCTTCCTATTTCTCCAAATGTCAGAAACTGGGACTGGGTGATAGGGAATTGATCACTTAATAAATATACCATGTTCTTATTCATTTCCTCCAAGGCACCTGGCATTGGCCACTGTCAGAAGACAGGCTCCTAGATGGATCATTGGTTTGAGCCAGTACCGCTGTTCTTGTGCCTCTATTTCCCAATTTAACTTCTGTTATCAGCAATAGTGACAAAGGGGTTCTAATTAGATAACACTAATCAGGTAGAACTGCATGAGATTGACGACTGAGGAGGCCCTATCTGTTCTCTGTAAAACAAAACAGATTGGCTATTTTCCCTATAGAAGCAAGAGATTTATCGATAGACACAATAGAGCAAAAAAGCCAATAGATAATGTGCAATTAAAAATCAGGTCTATATATTTTACACTGACATGTATTTAAAGTGGTTGGTAAGAGTTTTTACTGGAGATAAGCAATATTAGTCAAAGAAAAAACTGAATAGTCATGATGTTGAGTTTAGAACATTGTCACATGCAGAGACATTTTATAAACTGTAGGGCTGATTAAAAACAAAACCCAGCATCTCAGGCTCAGAGTTTTCATATCTATGACAGCAAACTCATTCCAACAGTGTTTTATTTGTCTTCTTGAAGCATTTTCCTTTTATTGGCGGCAATGAATATTCCAAATGCATTTTTAGATAACTAAAAGCAAGGAAACATGCCAAATGCCATTTAACCTGTAATTTTTGTCTAGTTGGTAGAGGATAGATAAGAATTGACAGACCATCCATTTTAAAATACAGATTTTTTTCCCTTGATTTGATTGCTTCTACTATCAGATTATTTACTTGAAAATCCAATACAGAAGCAAAACTAGCGTCAAGCCTTTTCCTCTTCATTAGCCGGTATTCTCAAAGTTATTAGAAATTAGAGTTCATTTGACATAGGCGTATTTTGTTTCCATGGCCTTATTTGCCAATGAGACAGCATCTCCGATTATGACATCAAATGAAAGGGAAATGTGACACCTGATGTTTCTGTATATTAATGGATGAATGCTAACCTAGTCATGCCGTTTCCGTGAAAGTGATAATTTATTACTGCGAGCAGAATTAGCAGTATTATGCAGGTTATAATTTTCCTATTTGGCTGACATCAGTATTCCAAGTACTTAGAAAACCAACTGTATCCTTTAGATAAATCCAGTTCTATATACTGTGGAACCAACATCCAATGATTTAAATACATCACAAGTTCTTCTGAAAAAAGTTATGCGAAATTAATAACACAATGGACCCTCAGAAAGAAGCAAGTGTGTGGAAACACTTTCTGCAAACAAAACCCTGGCTCCCAACCTGATTTGTTTTTCTTTTCTCCTTTTCCCCTCTTCTTGAAGAGCTGGTCTGCAAACGAACAGGAGCAAGTCTGCAACTACCCAAAAATTGCACAAGCAGGTGGCTTGGTACAAGTTACTTTGTATCTTGACAAGTAGTCTCAAAATTGAGCCAAGATGGCAGGATTTTCTTAGCCTGGGGTCACCAATGATCCCTGTGGGGGTGGGGGCTGTGTGTTACCACCCCCCAAGTGCTGAGCTTCCAGGATTACTGAAGGGGAGGAGTCTGGCACCACCCAGAAGCCGCAGTTGTGCACTGCCGCACTCCTCACGGCAGCAGGAGCCGCCAGGGAAACGGCGCACACAAGGCAAGTGCACTTGTTCCGCTTCCTCTGCAGCTCCTGCTGCTGCGGGGAGGCACAACCGCTACCGTCATACCGCACCAGCCCCCTTACTGATCTCTGAAGCCAGGTCCTTGGGGGATGGGGTGCCATGGTGCGAGAGGGTGGGACAATGGCAGGAAGAGGCAGGGCTTGGGGGCCAGTAATGAACATCCCCTTCCCTCCCCAGCCCAACGGGAGTCATGGGCTGGATCCCAAGATTGCTCTGACGGGAGACGACCCACAGGACGGGAGTTTGAGACCCCATCTTAGACCTTTCTTACCAAGCCAATAAAACCAACAAAAGATCCACCTAATTCTGCTTTCTCTGTATCCTAAACCAAGCGAATAAGGATACGTGAAAACAACAGGATAAATAAGCCACATGAATTCTCCTGAGCTGGAGTGCAAACCATGAATTTTGGGGGTAGAAGCAGATGACACAAAAGTTGCCCCTTTATCCTGCAGCTATAGGAAACAATCAGGCAATCAAACTGCATCCCTGAAAACAGGATCGCAACCGGGCTTGGTTGAAAATTTTGCAAAAGGACATTTGGGGAGAGACAACTTTGGCCAACCTGTTTGAATAAGTAAATTTAATCTTGATTTTGTGCAGTCTGTAACCCCTCAGCTACCATAGTCCTTACTCTAGAATGTTGAGCTTTGATAGTCAACTTATGATCCTTTTCACTGTAAACATATCCCAGTGCGGTGGCAGTATTTAAGGAGATGATCAGAGCTGAACCATTCAATGTGCGTAATGTTCCCCTGGGAACAACAGACGTGGTATGGCCGAGTGTTCAAAAGTTAAGTGGCTGATCACTACAGGGAAAGGCTTCCAAAAGGCTCAGTGATGGAGTGCACTGATTGTTAGCCTACAAGGCAAAGGGAGAGCTGGTATAACCTACACTGCTTTGGTGGCTGACAGACTGGAGGTGTCAGGGGGCTGACACCCCATTAGGCACCACAAATCTCACTCTTGCTGGAGCAGGGGGTACCAAGGAAACTATCAGTCTCGGCCCTCCAAGAACATCACAACGCTTCACTGCCATTTTGTGGCCAGTGAGTGGGGGAGTGTCGCAGCTCCCCACAGGAGCCAGCTATGCAACCATCATCTCGCCTTCCACACTCAAGGTCAGGATAGGTCAGTCAAGCTGCTAGCTTCTCAAGGGAGTCACTGCGAAAACAGAAATAATGAAGCTCGCACAACAGAAGTCCAATTCCCGTTTCACGTTCCTGAAGGGGCTGTAACAACAAACCGTATACAACAATCGCTTCAAACAAGTAGTTTGGAGATTGGCACAGGCACATTTCATTCCAATACCAAGAGAGTCAACTCACCTGAGTATGCCCAGTAAGGGTCCCCCGAGGCCTTACGCCGCCGTATTTGCACAGAACTACCATGTCTGTTTTCATGCAACGAGCCAACGTAGCCTTCAGTCAGAGCTGAGAAGAGAAGAGAACAGCCGCCATTAGGAAAATGAAGTTCACCCTCTAAGGGTGTGATGCTGTTCACGAACAGAGACACTCCTTACCCCAGAAAGGTTCACAATCTAAAGAGACGACTCAGGAGCCAGGACATACTGGGAAACCCCAATGACTGAGTTACCTTCAGAATAGGTTTTTGTTGCTTCTGAACAACGATCTTTCCAAGGAAGGAGGGGAGGTGCAATGAGGAGAGAAGGAAGTGATGGATGTTCAAGATGCCAATGCCATTGGAGGAAAGGGGAGAAGGCGGGTTATGCTTTCAGGAAGGAACTGCCTTCTTATTCTGTGTTTACACAATAGCACCTAACCAAATGGAATCCTCCTCTGTGATTAGTGCTACAGCCATACAATACAGAAGACAACACAACATCCACCCAGACCTTGGGTTTACAGAAACGTGTGTACACAGAGCCTTGAATCAGGCATACTCTCTGACGAGAGACTATTGGGCTACTGTGATACAAATTCCTAGGCAACGTGCCCCCTGATTGGTTTGCCAACAACTCTCACCTTAGACCTGACAAATGCGCCACACACACACACACACACACACACACACACACACACACACACACACAAAGTTTATCCATAAGGAACAACCTGAAAGATGTCAATAGAGAGCTCCTAAATTGCAATGGTTATGAATCTTGAGGAGACGAACGTACAGGTAACATTTAAAGAACAATCTATTTTAGAATTGTGCATCCATCTGTCTGTGAGTCCATTTGCTCAAGAACACCTCCTGAAGGGTAAGAGCTAGGACCACCGAATTTGGAATGCAATCTCCTCTTCTCCTCGCTTAAAGCAGAGTCAGGGGTTGGTTGTGCCAGGAAAACAGGAAGTGCCTGGAATGGGAATGTTTTCCATTCCATGGACAGGGAGGGGCTGTTTGGAGGGATGCGATATTCACAGTGTCCACTAGGGGCAGCAGCACCACCAAAAGAATAGCCAGCTGAAGCTGAGATCCCCCATCTTGCCTGCTACCCGACTGGGTAAGTGCCCTCCACTCCACCCCAAACTCCCTGGGAGCGAGGAGGGAGAGGGATAAAGTCCTTGGCAAGCTCCGGGAGAAAGAAAGGCCCTGCCAGTCCCCTCTCCACACCAGGAGTAAGCAGGAGGAGGGAGAAAGCCCCTCTTGCCCCCCCGTCCCAGGCCAGGAGAAGGAAACAGTTCCCACCAGCCCACAGGGACTAGTCAGAACCAGCCAATCCCTTTCCCTGACTCCTGCACCCCCACGCTGAGCCCTTCTCAATCTCAACCCTCACTCTCACACTCCCTGCATCCCCAACTCCCTATCCTGAACCCTCCCTCAACCCCCCCCACCCTGACTCCTGCACCCCACCTCTGAGCCTTCTTCCTGACCTGATTCCTGCCCCCCCCCTCCCAATCCCATGCCTTGAAGGACCTGGGCAACACCGGGTAAATCTGCTAGTATATTTACATTACAAATAAGCGTTCAGGATTTGGAATAATGATAATTAGTCACCAGAGTCAATATGTTCAGGCAAGAGGCTCTTGTCACCCCTCCCTGGCTGGCTGGTGATGCAATGTTAATTAGCTTTGTGCAGTCCCAAGTCTTTCAGTGGAAAACTATCGGGCAACCAGAAAACAAATGAAAGCTCCTGAAGGAAGCAAAGGGGTAGGAGGCTTTACCTTGCGTGTGAGGAGAAACAAAAAACCTCCTTCAGGAGGCGGCACTCGGCATCCCGTCTCTGAGAAGCCATATTGGGAGTGGGGATGGACAAATAAAAACCGAATCCTGGGAAGCCGGACAACTCCACAAGAGAATGAAATTGGTGCGGGGGAGGGGAAAATGAGGAGACCTGTTTTATTAGCGGGGAAAGGGAACGGCCCCCTAAGCGCAGACCTAGGTTTGCGTTTCCTGATTCTGGCTTGTGCCATATCTGCTGGCTGTCATCACTCCCTCTCCTGGCTAGTTAAAGCTTGGCCCTTTCTTCCATAAGCCGACTTCTGTTGTATTTTAAGGGCTCACAAGCGCTGTGTGTCATCCAGGAGCAATGGTTGAAGGTAAAATAAGTCAACAGGGGTACAATGCCCCTCCGGGCAGTTTTGTGAGCAGCCAGTGCCAGGGTATGGGTCCCATAGGGACAAAATTCAAAGGGACACCATGCGCAAGGCGAAGACAAGCGTAACCCAGCGGAGTGACTAAAAGGCCAGTGATATCCGAGAACTGGCCCCTCCACCCCAGAGGCAAGCAGAGAAACAAGGTGACTCATGGTTCTGGGTGCCCAGAGAACAGTCACATTCCCTGCCCTTTCCTAAGAAAAACGAAACAATCTGAAGAGCTGCGGACATGCCCCCGTGTGGCGCACAACAGGTTAGCTTCGGTGTTTGCAATGGAGCTACGCTGACCTACACCAGTAGAGCATCTGCTCTGGACATTTAGGCCGTTGACAGACTTCCTGTCTAGCCACTCCAAGGGTCGGGGTGGACTTGCTTTACTAGGTGTGCACAAAACAGTAGTTGCTACAGGAAACACAGAGTGTAGCCAGATTCTTGAGATACCTATGGCATCAAGCTCGATGCTTCAGATACTGTATTACACTTGCTTCCCCTACAGCCCAAGCGACATTTTAAAATCCCCAGCCAGGCAGTCCTCCAGTGGCCCAGGAGTACCCTCTCTAACAGGATAGAGGTCTTTGGCAAGGTGGAGATTAACTGGCTATCCGGATGACGGCTTGAGAACTTCATGGAAGGCACGTCACACGACAGTAGCTCTCCATCCCACCCAGCATGGAGGACACAGACCCAACCTTCCAGCCAAGAAGACGGAGGGGAGGTGTCAGGAAGCCACCTCATGTACAACCCTATGACCAGCACGCAGCAAAGAGATTCATGAAGAAGGAACCGCTAACCTGGTTTGCTTTCATAAAGTGAAGAACTTGAACCCACCAACTGAAACAAAAGAGGGAGCCACCAAGTGCTTCCAGGCCTTTTTCTTGTTATAGTTAACACCTGCTTTTTCTCCTTTTAAAGAAATGCTCAGCTTTCCCAAAGGGGCAACTTTACACATGCAGATACTGCGTGTACTGCTTCCATCCACTTGACTGAATCAAATCTGAGCTGTCCGAGTTCACAAATGTCAGGAAGCTAGTCTGAAATGGAATTTGCCTCTCTCTGTCACCACACACCGCCGCTGCAAACCCCCGGCCTATAATAAATGCACACATAAAAATAAAACCTGCTTGGGAAGGCAACGAGAACTGTCTAGGCATTATTTGAAAACACAGCCGAGCATCGTGTGACTCAACAGCAATTTCTCTCTGACTGGTCGCGGTTCAGTTATTTAAATCAGCAAGGTACTAATTAAATAATTCCCAGTACTTAACTTCAGTTAGGTGTACAAAAGGTTACCGCATATAGCAGCCGTACCACCGGTGCTGCATGCCCGTCACTTCTCTAGCCAAGCACAGCAAGGCGGGGCTTGAGCAAACCGTCCGGGAACACCAAGTATGGGCAGGTCTATTCAGTTCTTCCCATTGCCGTGATACCCGACTAATACCTGTTTGGTACGAAGGTGAGTGGAGCTGGCTGGTTTTCAGTAGCAGACGTACTCGGGCTCCCTGTCTACACAGCACCGCCAAGAGCTTCACTCTACGGCAGGGCCGATTGATTTCTGCAGCATGACCTAGGGACGTGAAAGGTTAACGGGTTTCGATTAACCGGTGGGAGCTGAAGCAGCTCCCTGCCCACTCTGGTCCCGGGGCTGCTTGAACCCTGTGGAGAAAATTTAGTGTGGTCATGCTAGGGATGTCAAATCCCATTTAACTGATGAGCTGGTTAAACAATTAAAGGAGAGGGATGGCAGGGGTACTCCAGTCATGTTTGCAGCGGGAGCAGAGGTGGAGTAGAGGGGGGGGTGCCAGCAGAGCTGAGGTGGGGCGGGGGGGGCCAGCCCAGCAGCGG